TGGCACTGACCTTACTGCGTGGCTCCTTGGAAGCCCAGTGTCCTGCCTCGTAAGAAATAAGAAAAACTTTGTTATGTTCAGAAAAATATCCTACACAACTTGCAGCTATATTTTTTGAACAAATATCCCTGCTTCCGGATCCGGTACAGGTCTTACTCCCATTTAATCGCTTGTAGGGAAAACCTTGCATATTTTGTCTGCGTAAATAACAACTTCTTTGGCAAGTCTACCAGCCTTCTTGTTTCCTGTAACGCCAGTGTTTCCCGGAACATCCTCATCACAAACTACCCCATCGACAGGAGTTAACGCTATACTCTTTATCAACGGGTTCGTCAGCGAAAGATGCAACAATATATAGAGCGTTGCTGTCAGTGTATTCCTAAGAACCGNACTGGCACTGACCTTACTGCGTGGCTCCTTGGAAGCCCAGTGTCCTGCCTCTTAAGAAATAAGAAAAACTTTGTTATGTTCAGAAAAATATCCTACACAACTTGCAGCTATATTTTTTGAACAAATATCCCTGCTTCCGGATCTGGTACAGGTCTTACTCCCATTTAATCGCTTGTAGGGAAATCCTTGCATATTTTGTCTGCATAAATAACAACTTCTTTGGCAAGTCTACCAGCCTTCTTGTTTCCTGTAAAGCCAGTGTTTCCCGGAACATCCTCATCACAAACTACCCCATCGACAGAAGTTAACGCTATACTCTTTATCAACGGGTTCGTCAGCGAAAGATGCAACAATATATAGAGCGTTGCTGTCAGTGTATTCCTAAGAACCCAGTCCTGCTCATGACTAGCCCTTGAATTATTTTCAGAAAATTTTCCTTCTTCATTTCTGTCAACCAAGCCAGTGCTCCTTGGAACGGTTCGACCTGACAATTATTGGGAAGATCCAACGAAGAGGAAGAAACGGTAAACGGGCCCCAGGTGCGGCCCAGCATCTTTTTCTAACTACCAAGTATGATTCCTAAGTAAAAGGTAAAAGTAGCTCGTAACTTGTAGGAGAGAGAGCGAGAAGGAAAGGAGAGAGGCACCGTATTACACTTTTTTGTGAGAATCCCTCTTCTCTTTTAGAAATGTTAAATAGAAAATGATTGGTTGTCACTTTGTCTATTAGATTACTAATACCCTGAGTGTAAAAATAATTGCTTCTAAAGAGATCTTGGTACTTAAGTTTGTTGTTCCGTGTAATTGAGTGCTTTGAATTTTGTTGAGATAAACTTTTTATAATATTTTCACGTATTCACTTATAAAGTGAAAAAAAATTTAATACCACTTAGATATCTATATATAGATGCACTTATTCCAGGACCAAGTTATCATTTTTGTATTTTTTCATAGCAGTAAATCTCCATTTCATTCATGCGCAGTGATGGCATATAGCTAACCAGATAGAAAACCCTTTCAATTTAGAAATTCGTTTCAAGTGCAATATGCCACAATAGTTTTTATGTGCTAATTTAAGGAAAAATAAACATTTTTGAGCACAAGGTTACTGACTCGCAAGTAATAGCAAAGTAGGTCAACTGAAAGATAGATATTTAAGTTGTGTGTTTTTTATTTTGACTCATTTTATGTATATACGGGATTGCATGCGTAGTTATTTTGCACCTTGGCAACCCAGAAATAAAATGTATAAAAATATGGGAAAAAATCTGAAACGACAAAAAGCAATCATAAAAACAAAAATATGTTTGCTTTAATTTCAGAAAAGCGTCCACTAAAGTCGCTGGTGACTTCACCAATATTCCGCAGCCCTTCAGCGCGTCTACTGCAGCGTGACTACAGCAGTCCTGCGGACACGGACCGCGCTGGCACATTGAGTAGCGGGAGCGTGATTGGCGGCATCACGAATAGCTCAACGCTGAGCAGCGCCGACGGCATCTCCAGTCTAGGCTCTTTGGTTGGAAACAATAGCGTTGGCAGTATTGGTGGCCTTGGCGTTGGCAACGAAGTGCTGCACTACACATTTAGGCCAAGTAAACAATTGGTAAGTAGCAGATGATAACCTTAAGTTGCACACAACAAAAGCTCCCTTATATATATGAACATATATACAATCCGTAGAAATGTTCATATAAATCTATCTACATGTGTATGTTTGTGAACTAGCTATATATCGTTACCTTAATATAGAAAGGTCCCATCTAACATTTTTGTTTCATTGCACAGTTATTATAAAATTTTATAAAACTGTACGCTTTTCAGTTGCTACTGAGTTAAAAGCACTGCCTTTTTAACAAACACTGAAACTAGTTTATTAATGTATTATTTGTTTTGAAAAGCTATTAGGTCCTTAGAGGGTTAGCTGCCAACTTTTGTATAACTTCAATATAACGAGATGGGACCTTTTCAATTTTCGGTAACGATATCCTACATACTTATATCGGCATAAATAGGTATATAGCATGAAAACACAGAGGGCGGTAGATTCAGTGGCATGGAAACTAGGTAAATTTGTGCCACAAAATAACTAAAAACACAAATGGCAAATAACAAACAATAAAGAATGCATACTAAACCAAATGTATATATAAAATATACACATGCACATACAGACTTGATGTGAATATTGTATCTCCTTTCGTTCTCATGCACATTCATTGTAACATTACACAAATTCGTCATCATGAAATGCTTCAGAGATTCAAGGGAATTTGCGCTGCTCCACTACTGCATACATTTGTATGTATGTTCGCATATGAATGTACATTAGGGTGGTAAAAAAATAAAATAATAATAGCGAAATTTTAGTGCCACGTATCACGTAGGATTTTTCTATATCGAAAAAATTTACATCCCTGGTTTTTTTAATCACAAAATATATGGAGGCCGCTAAAAGTGATCAAAACCAACCAAGTTTTCATAGAAATTGTGGAGAATTCTTCAATCAACATTTTTCGATCAGAAAAATTTGTTTATCTTCAGAAGACTTTCAATGACAATACCCAAGTGCTTATTTGACCACTTTCTATTATTAACTTTTTTTGCAATGCCAACCATAAAAACTGCTAGTATTAAAAAATTTTATAATAAATAATTGGGCATAATTACTGGCAGTCTCATAAAGAGAAACAAAGTTTTCCAATCGAAAAGTATTGATTTTCAAGAATTCTGCACCATTTCTACGAAAACTTGTCTTTTTCCCATATAAAATATATGGGGAACTTTGGGCGCTTTGAGCGAGTTCTAAACATTATCTGATTTCAAAATAAAATAACGGGGGTATAATTTTTTCGGTACAGAACAATTCTAAGGAGTGAGAGCATCAAAAAATCCCGACCTAACTTGTTTACATGCATTTTTGGACCACCCTAATATGCATATATAGGTATGGTTATATGTGTATATATGTACTTCCGCCCTGCAATAATTGCGACTACTCCATGCGTACGTAAAGAGTACTCTCTAAAAGGTTCATTCTACAAGTTACCGATGATTTTGTTATCGAAAAATTGTATTACCCCAAAAATTTTACCACTCTCTGTCACCGCGGTTCGTGCTACGTTAGTGATGTAGTCAAAATATTCAGCAATTCAGCTGTGAAGATTTTGTGGGAATTCTGGTATTACATATTTCACGGAACAATATTTTGGCACAACTTAAAAGAGTGCACATAATGTGAAAGGGGTGTAAAGACTTACAAGAGCTTTAACTATTTAGCAATTACAATTTTTTTTTTATCAACGCAGAATATACCTATAAGGGTCAAGGAATACTACAGAATAATTTGGTAACAATAAGGTAATGTAGAGAGATGAGTTGGTCCACTACTGTATTACAGAGGAGCATTTTGTAAGTACTCCAATATCCCTGCAAACCAAAGTTCCCGAAATCTTAAAGAAATCTTTAGGAGTATCTGATTTCTGTAACGATTTTTTTCCGAATCTTCAAAGAAAATTATATGAAGTGGTTGACACGAACTCGTAAAGAAATTTCTGTACGAAAAATAAAGAAAATTCTGAAAAAAGTCTGCCAGAAATTCTTCACATAGCAGCATTATTTTCATTTCTTTACCGATTTTCTCCGAAATTTCGTAAAAGAATGGAAGTGTGCGTAAGTTATTTCATTTTAGAAAATTCGGCTAAAAATCGGATGGGATCTTTCCGAATTATTTAAAAATTCTTTACGATTCAGAATAATCTGTAAAAATGGTTTGCAGGGATGGCTCAAATGGCCCACATAGTCCAACGATTTTTGCAGGGCGTCTGCCTCTGCACTAGCGCTTCTACTGTGCTGTCCTCTGCCTGCATGACTGCAATCTCTTTGTTTGTGTGCGTGTGTNCGTAAAAGAATGGAAGTGTGCGTAAGTTATTTCATTTTAGAAAATTCGGCTAAAAATCGGATGGGATCTTTCCGAATTATTTAAAAATTCTTTACGATTCAGAATAATCTGTAAAAATGGTTTGCAGGGATGGCTCAAATGGCCCACATAGTCCAACGATTTTTGCAGGGCGTCTGCCTCTGCACTAGCGCTTCTACTGTGCTGTCCTCTGCCTGCATGACTGCAATCTCTTTGTTTGTGTGCGTGTGTTTGCTATTGTAGCACTACTTTTCTTACGCAAACAGGCGTCAACAGAAAAAGTGCGGAAATATGAAAATTTGCTGGTAACCAGGACAATGCCAAAGTAACTATAAGTAAGTGTGAGAAATATCAAGAAGCGTACCGGATAGGCAAACTTGTGATACTTGGATAACTGCAAACAAGAAATTGATATAATGCGAAGTGACACCAATTTTTGCAATTCTTTCTTTTAGTTCTTTTGTATGTAGTTACAAGGATATTCCTTTACGAGTCAAAGTCCTTGCCATGAACTATTTTGTACATTTGTAGTTTACAGACGGATTGCAATTGGAGTAAAAAATATTTCCGATTCTATTAACGAGTCAACGTCCTTACCATGAACTTTTTTACACATTACTGGTTTACTTTCAGATCATAATTATAGTAAAATTATAGATATTAATTTACACAGTTACACTATTTATATTTATCAAAACTACCCTTTACACATGAAAACATTGCTATTTTATAATTAAATATTTTGCATATTCGGAGTGATGAACCTAAACAAAATTAATTACCGTTATCACCTATAGTAGATACTGATAGATATCTGTTAGTTTTGTTAGTATGTCACTTCCAAGCACTTTATGCCTAATTTTCGCTAAGGCATTTAGTTGATAGCTGCGACAACTTCTATTACTTATGTATATGGGGGCACTATTATCGTTGCCTGAACATATATGTATGTATATGCCTTCGTTCGTTTTTAGCCAGGCAGATTTCTTTGCTATTTTGTAAGTCTGTGGAATCAGTTAGGTTAATCTGGTCAGCATTGAGCCACACAAAGGCCAGTTGGTCCTTAGGCTTTTAAGTAGACATTACGTAGCATGTTTTCTAACTTCTTAAATTGATAGTCTCAACTATATAACACTCTATTCCTTTATGGCCGAGGGGCATGTCAGTACCACAGCCTCAGACTCCTACAAAGAGGCTCCTGGCGTCGCCCATTGCTTATTCATTAAAATATTTGACCCAAAAATTTAGCTTCTTGCTGGACTAAGATGCCTGAAAAAAAAACAGAAAATGTGCTCTGTATTATCATTTGCCACCTGAATACACATTCTGGGTTGTAAAAGATTCCTTTGGAATCCATTTTTCAAACCAGTTTCTATAATCCCAGGTAAACCGAACCAGATAGTAAAGCTATTTCTTTTTCAGCTTAGTAAAAAAATTACGGACCTCTTTTGTTTATATATAAACATACACGTTGTGTGCAAGAGGAGATCTGGAATATATGTACTAAGTTGCAAAAAAGATATGGGATAGAGAAGATGATTTCACACCACTTCGCGTGTATGGGGAATTGAACTACATCTATGATTTTTTTTTTTTTTTTGTTTTTTGCACGACTTCATAAAAATTTGGTTATGGAAATTTTGCCTCTCAAGGGAAGTTTTTTAGGTCTTATCCCTTATTTTATGGTTTCTAATATTTATCTTCAGTATGTCTCAGACTTTAACTTTTCTAAACATTACAAATCCTTAAAATAAATCTTGGACACTTTTAGGTAGAAAATCAGAAAACAGTAGTAGTATAATAATTACACAGGTAACCAAAAGTGGTATTGGCAGCAATAGTCTCAACAGAAACGATGTTGAGTAGTTTCGTTAATTTAGGTTGCTTCTGGCTCAAAGCATTTTAGAGATTATGATAGGAAAATTTATTAAACTGGGTTGCCGAATGATAACGCCCCTCTATATATTTGTACTATATGATCAATTGAATTTTATCCGCAAATATTATATCACATAACTTATGTAACATCAAATAAAAATATCCATAATATACGTTCATATGCACTTAATTCAATTAAATATGTTCATTTTAATATGCTAAATACTAAAAATATATATACTATTTAACTATATATAAGTACATATAACATCTTGTATGTACAATAAAGGAATCCATAAATCTAACAAAAACACATTTTTCTTCTATACCTTCCATTCCTCTTACCTGCTTAATTACATACTGCCATGCTTCTACGTTATCGCACTGTGTCTTCCACATTTACCTCAACACCATTGTCGTCATCACCCTCACCGCATTTATGCTGATACAGAGTTATGCTACCTTAAATAAGAAGGGTATAACTACCTGTAGTCCACCGCTAAATATATCGCTTTATAATACAACAACTACAACATCATCATCGCTATCCTCAACGTACCATTCCACGCCACAACCACAACCAATGGAAGTAAGTTTACTCAGTCCGAATAATCCATCGGTGACATCATCGTTGAGCGAATATCGATTTCGACCGGAAGTGGTAACAACATCGAATCGCATACAGGAAAGTTGTATATAAATAAATATAAATATGGACTATACTTTCATGTGAATAAATAAAATATGTTGTGAGTGTATGTGTCTGGCGTAAATGTATCTATGTACTTGATGAAAGATGAACTGAAAATAGACTGACACAAATTAATCAATTGTTTTCCAAAAATATATATATTTTCTTTTTGTGCACAAGGCTTACACATACATACGCATGAACGTATAAATTGATGTTAATTTAACAGTGAGATGTTTATCCCGCATGATGTCGGTGATTTTGATTATCGAAAATCATTATCACTTATAGCAGCTCGGTGCTTTTAAATGACTTTTCCAAGCTTCTCAATCATTTTAGATCCGTATCACCAGCATATATCTCACGAGTGGTTCTTCTAGTGTCACCCCCTTCTCTCAAAAAAAAAAAACAAAGAAAAAAAACATTCCCTTGCATACATTTCAATAAATGGAGTTTCAGAAACAAGTACAGTAAAAAATAGAACAAGTATTTGAACAATTTTAGCTTTAAAACGTTTACTTAGGCCAAAAACTACCGAAATAACTATTTTTTTTTTCATTGCTACTCGTAAAAAATTTTAATTGTTTTTTTTTTAATAACTTTATGAAGTTTTCAAAAAATGTTCATATTAGAGGCAATGGACGTTAGCATCAATTACAAAACATATCTGTGTTTCAGGAGTATGCCACCAAATTAAACCAAATGAGAAAACTATGATTTGAGAAACTAAAATTCCAATTTTACAATTTTTATTGGCACACTCGAAATTCATTCTAAAAATGTGATGTACAGAAAAACATATGTATGTATATGCCTAGATAAGGAATACTGTGTAAAAACTTCCACGCCAATATTTATTGACTTTTATGACTTTTAAGTTGAACCGTGTAAAACCGAGTGAACGTATTAGCTGACTGTGTATGGTGCTACGGTGCGTATACCTTACCTACACAGCTACGGGTATATGAGCACGAGTTGTTATTTTTGCTTAGGCACGGGGTATTTTTGGAGGGCAGGATATTTTTGTCCCCTAATAATGCTTGACAGCTTCAACCAATTATCATCGACTCGTCTCATGCCAAATTCATTTTCCATTCAGAACTCGACCTCACTGCCATAGCAAATAGAAATTTTATATTGCAAAAGTTTTTTGTTCACTTAGTATTTTGTTCATTTGGGCCTAGATTTTTCGGCGAACCAACTCAGTTAAATATATATATATATATAATATTCGCGGAAGCTTGGGCCTCCAACGCAGAAAAGAATTTTGTATGAGGTTTGAAGCATTTCCTCCTTATACGCCGAGATTTGGCAAAAATGAGAGTTCGGGGTTTTATTGGACACTTAGTTCTTGACATTTGAGGAATTTTTCTTGCACAATTTCCACACGGCATTAGATTTTTGCGCAATTTTTAATAGTTTTTTGGGCCCATAAATTTTGTTTTAGCCAGAATGCCGGGAAATTGGCCGTTTTGAAGTCGCCTGAAATTATGGCTGACCTATGAAGAAAATACCATCTCCAACTGAAATTAATGTTTAAGAATACATCGATTTCTGCATGATTTGCAAGATAAATATGCCGCAAAGGGGAAACCTGCGAAACACAGCCTTACTTAAGTTGCGTCGGAGCAAACCCGTATGTTCACTGCGTTTTGGAATTATTTTAGTCGTCACTTTTTACTTTATTATATTAATTTTGATATACTGTTTCGTTTTCTTTTACAAATAAATGTTTTGCATCAATAATTTTGACTTTTTATCGACTTAAAAACTGTCCAGTAATTCCCGAGATTTGTCAAAACCGCAAAAACACAATTTTTGTGCCAATTGAAATAACATGTATAATTTAATACAATTTGATCAATTCTGCTAATAAAAAAAAAAGTAAGGTTATATCTCGTACTACAAAACCAAGCTATAAAACTTTTAGAAAAAGTAATTTTTTTGCGAGTTTTCGACCAAACTAAAAGTGTGTCCAAGAATACCCGACTTCCCCTATAAATTTTTTAAGTTTTCATGTGTAGATTTCCGAAATACATGGCTATTACTTCTACCATTTTTTCAAATTGTTGTTGCTTTTCCACTATAGTTTTTCATTAAAAACGGCCTCGAGCTCAATTAAAATTGTTGAATATCTATACTTTTCATCTAAATGCAATTTCGCGATAGAATCCTGCTCTGTACTCAAGGCGGATGATAATTCATTGTTTTAGATAAGTGAGCCACCATTTTCGCCCAAAAACACATTTTGTTGAAAAATGTAACAACTGCCGAGATTTGCTCATATGTACCCATTTTCATCCTACTTCGAACACTCTTTAACTTTGAAGTTTACCTCTATAGTCAAATCTAAGTAGATAGCAGAACGTCTCGCAAAGCAGAGTATCACTGACATTAACTAAAAAAGATTTATAATTGAAAGTATATAAACTCTTAAGCAAATATCCTCAAATTTTGGGCTATGAAATATTTTTGACTCAGGTTTTCATTACTTCCGGCAAGTTTAATACGTTGNATCAAATAAAAAAAGAACGCACATTTTAAAATACAAACACATATGCGAGTATGTATTTATATGCAAGTATGCGCAAACCTGTTTACCTTATATTTATTTTGTATACTAAAACTACTGGTAAAATATAGTAAAAACATATTATATTTACGTAATTGCAAAATCGCCAGCATTGGTGCTACTCCAATTGACGTCCTCTCGGCGCTGGCTTAACTGTTGACATGCACGTTAATTGATGTTTCAATGTACTCGTATCTGTAAAGATTGCAAATGTAATTGTATGTATGTATGTGCATCGCATTATTAATAATATTTTTTTTTACAAAATCTAAATTAAAATTCAATTAAATATTAATTAATGCAATGCAAAATAAAATAAAAAAAAGGAAAATAAGCCAACTGTAAAAGCGAGCCTAATTACTGTGAAATATAACGAAATGTTAGAAAAAGTGTAAATGACGTTGCCAGAAAAATACACACTATGTATGTAAATAAATAAATATCATGAACATATGTTTAGCTAGGAAATTTGTACATATCATAAATACATATGTATGCCGACGCCCTACCCATATATACATATGTTTGTATATTTATACATATTTACATCCCTCAAATATTTTAATAACAATACCATAAATACCAGAGCATAACATCATTTTTATTTTCATACCATTGTAAGTACATTTTCCTTCATTTTCTGCTACTCTGGGCATATCATAGTCTAATACTACATCCATTCAGTTTAAAAATTTCCATACATATCAAACCTTATAGATTATAAAAGTGTTTTCAATATAATATATTTTATTTTACCATGGGGTTTTAACTTCGAAATGACAAGCCTTTTAATGATATCATATTAAAATTTATGTAGGAACTCTTAACAAAAATTTTGGGCTGAGTTTATTTTAAATTATTAGTAAAGGTTAAAAAAAAAAACCTATTAAAAAAAGTTAAAATTGGTATAAATTAAAAAAAATGCTGGTAAATTCCGTTGAAAATTTTTGGTTAATATTACTTTCTTTTGATGGCAAGAAGTTCTTTTTTATTTAAAAAATCTTTTTTTTTTCAGTAGTTTCTTGTTTATATGAGTTAACGGTGAAACATCACGTAATCCATCAATGGCTTTCATATTAAAAAAAAAGGTATCAGAACAGGTATATCTTCCTACTAGAATGAAATTGTATTGTATAGCGGGTAAAAAAAAAAAATCACGTAAAACAAAACCAATTTTCAATCCTAACTCGTACCATTAAGAAATGCTTTGCACCTTTGGAAACGATTCGATTTAAATGGCATTGTAAAGCAGCACCAAGCCCGGGCTTTCACATTTTCGAATCTTCACCGATGGTTCTAAATGCCTAGATCAGGATCTTTGGTATTTATCAAAGTTAATGGGGACAAGCTTCACTTTTCGCTTGGGGAGTATGCTTCGGTCTTCCAGGCTGAGGTATTTGCAATCCTCAAGGCCATGGACTACGTGGTGGAAAATTGGTCGAGGGGAAGGAGTTTACGTATCTGCAGTGTACAGCCAAGCTGCACTTAGGGCATAAGCCAGCCCTCTAACTACTTCCAAACTAGTTTGACAACGGAAGTTTCGACTATTTCACACTTATATGTTGGCAAACATAACGATGTTGCTTTTTTCTTGGTCACTTGGCAATACCTGGTAATGCGACGTCTGACCATTTGACCAGAGTTGGCTCAGACCAAGCATTCCTCGGTACGTAAGCACTCCCCACTTGGGTCAGAAATGACTGGGAGCTATCGAGGCGATGCAGATGACCAACACTCATGTTGCCTTCAATCTCAGAAGGTCTATCTAGTTTTTTACTCTTACTGAGCAGATGAGACTGCAAAATAATTTGCGAGAATTAGATATGAGTCATTTGGCCGCAATGCGTTGAGAGATGAACACCTGAGCTCTTCGACACCCAACAATCTGCTTAGGTGTATTAAAAAAAGAACGTGCAGATTTTAACCAGATTACAAGGGATACGAGTACAATGGACGGCATGTAGTCTAAGTGCTGTTTTCTACACGCGTTGTTTGGTGCCTGGTTCAGACAAAACAAAAAAAAAAACAGCAAAACCCGCTCGAAGCAAACAAATTGTATAAGCGTATTTCAAGAAAATGTCATGCCCATCTTCGTAACTTTTTCACAAATTTTACGAAAATATATAAAAAGGGTTTTCACATATCGCTGAAGTTTTTTGTTAGCATGTTTCTTGTATCCCCGGTTAGCAATTTTGATGCACATACTTTTCCAAATTAACGAAAAAAAGCATAACAAGAAAACCCCGTAAAAATTCAGAATCGGATTAAAACAATAATTGGGAGATGCTGAAAAAAGCCCGCGTAAAACTAGGATCAGGCGCATTTTCTTTGAAAAATAACGCTACAAGTCTTCCTGCCGTACGATGCGGGTAGTTGGCAATAGATGGCCGTGTGAACCATGTTTTGCCCCGAAAAGTCCTCTTTATTCTGCAATCCACAAACATCACGTATACGCCATGTAGCACTTTGTTTCTGAAACACCAAAAAGAGAAGTTAGTTAATAAGTGTAAGTACATAGACTACTCATTTGAAAATATTTTCGAATCAATGCAGTAAATATTTTGGTACGAATTTTCGTCGAATTCGGTTTTGGAGACAACCAGTATCGACTTTGCGCCATTTTCAATTTGATTTCCGTTCCATACTTTATTCTCTTGAAGTGTTATACTATGCATTTTTTATGGCTGCCACAATATTCATACACATATATATGTATACATAACACATAGTAAATAAGTTTTTAATTCATCTGCAAGTACATACCCATATTAATTAAATTCGAAGAATCATGTGTCATACCTTCCATATTAAAGGGCAGTAATAGAAATATTGTAGTGTTTGGGATTAAGAATAAATTGTAATAATTATATTTTAATTAACATTTCTCAAATAAGTTGTTTTTTATCTGCTTTTTTGTATGCTTTTTTATTTCCGAAATAAATCCCCTTTTTTAATTGATGTTGTGTGATTTTAAGTTCTCATTTAAAACTGTATGTATGAATGTCTAAAACATATCTTGTGCACTCGCATATCATATTTTTAATTTATTGAAACACAAATAAACGCCCTGCATTGCACTGTGAAAGGAACTATTGAAATTGCTATTATTTTCTGCATGCCGCAAATTATCGACACACAAACTTTTTATTATTTAAAAAATTTAAAAAAGTATATATGCATATTATTTATTAATTTATTGTTTGTCTACAGGAACCTTATTACTACTATACCAAGTCTAGGAACAAATTTCAAGAATCACATCTATAGTTACCAAATTTACAACTTGCATATGTATACAGCTATGTACCCGCTTACATACATATTTATGTAGCAAACAATCAAATACATATCACCACATACATACGTAAGTCAAACGGCTTTTTGTTTTTTCTTTCGTTTTCGAAAATGGCAAAAATGCCTTCAAGCGATTTGTTTATTGTAAAATTATTTGCAATTTCGATTTTTTAATCAAAAAATGTTAAAAAATAAGAAAGTAAAAAAGCATTTCAAATAAATATGTGTTGAATAGAAATGGTAGTTCACAAAATTTTCACACCAAAAGTATTATTTTCATTAGTCTATAGTTAGGTAAGGAAAAACGAATTTTCTGAATGTTGTTGCGATTATATCTGTGTATATAAATTGAAATTATAGTAATTAACAATCTAAAGCAAAACAAATTTTATATGCTTACGCATATTGCATTTATCGTTGGTATGAAACAAAAAACGCCAACAAAATGTTCGCCAATTTTATTGAATTTATTGTAAATATGTACTATTTATTTTGCGGTTGAAAGCACAGCCACTAAGTGGTATTTATTGGCCTATAAAATAAAAAATATTTACTAAACCTGTTTTGTACATATTTATATGTAGTAAACACTTTAACTGAAATCTGATAATAAGTAATAAATTATAATATTAATGTGTTGAAAACATTAAAAATTACTTTAGACTAGAAATGTAAGTATATACATTAACTAAGTAATAAGAGAAAACGTTTGGTAAATGTAAAAAAAATACTAATAAATTATGTGTATGAACTTTGTAAAAACAAAACTGCAAAATTTAACAAAAAACTAAACAAAATGCTTAGAGCGCTTGTAATGAAGAGTTAGTTCTGATTCTCCATTTTAGAATAAGGCGCTTAATTAGAAAAATATAAGAAAATTTGTCCTTGTACATACATACTCAACTACGTTGTTGAAATTCAATACTCGTACATGCATACATATACATATAAATGTATATATTGTATATTAGCATAGAACTTAACTACATATGTACGCATGTACATAGCTAATACGTTTAAAAGACTAACATCTCAACTGTTTTAGCGCTAAAGATAAGTATACAACTACTTAGCTCAATAAGAATTCCAAGGAAACCTAGGCTAAATCGCCATTTAGAAAATACAATGTATATATATGGCGGCCGCTGTAGCGGAGTTCTTAGCAGTGCATGCTACCACTCAACAGGACCAAGGTTCATTCACTGGTGGGAGCAACATCCCAAAAAAAAATTCTTAACAGCGGTCGCCTCTCCGCAGGCAACGGCACTAAACCGAGTATATTTCTGCCTCTAAAAAGCTTCTCATAACATCCGTTTGCCGTTCGGAGGCGGCATAAAACTGCAGATCCCTCTATTTGTGTAACAACATCTAACGCACACCAAAAATTGGAGGAGAAGCTCGGCCAAACACTTAGCTAAAGTGTAAGCGCCAAAATAATATTATTACTATTTTATGTACTATATAAATGTTTGTATATATAGTTTATTCGCGTAAATCTTTAGTTCGTTAGCTGAAGAATTTAAAGCCATAGCAAATAGAAATATGGTGATTAAAAAACAATATATATATATACTAAATTAAAATATATGTATTGTTTGTAAAAATAAAACGAACACCTATATTTATTGTTTGTACTATATTTAGAACAATAAGTTAATGGTAGTTTTAAGTATGAAATGGTAATGAAATTATAGAAAAATTATAACTAAGAAAGAGAGTGTAAGAATAACCTAAATTGTAAGAAAAAGAAAATAAATCAATGACTAATATATACAAAATAAAATGTGAAATAAAATTGTTTTATTTCTGTGGATTTTATATTATACATTAATATACATAGTATATTACGCATACAGTTACTCCCAAAACTGAGCGTACGGCTTTTTTTTTTTGTTAATATTCGCAATGTTTTACATTCTAAAAATTTTGTGTTAATTTGGGATTAAAATATGGCTTATCTTTAGCAAACTCCATTTAAATCCAAGAATGATACTGTGTACAAAAATTTACGAAAATCTGCGAAATTTCAGCAAAATCGCGAACTTCTTAATTCGAGTTTTTAAAAAGAATTCAGTTATGCAGTTTTTTAGCCCATTAAATTTTAGTATAATAATGTGCGAATTTCAAAGCTCTAAATAATCGCGTTGATTTTTGAGATTTTTTTTGCTGACTGTCCTACGCATTTTCTTCCATATAAAAAAATTTTGAGAATTCGTTGATATATGATGGAACTATGATAAACCTAGACCGGTACGAAAATCGTTCAATTAATGCAATGTGGTTTTTGAGTTTTGATTATTGAATCATTTTAGAAAGATCAAAATAAATAAAACTAAATAAAATGTAGAAAAAGATTCATATAAACATACATATAATCAAGACGAACTTACTTTGAAGACAGCCAAAACATTTAGCAAGAAAAAATTTGTAAATCTTTATCAAATCTCTTCGTTTTCTATTAAGAAGCGGTAATCAATTTAACTAAGCACATCATGGGAAAGCAGCCTTTTTCTAAAGCAAAAGGTATTGGCTGTGCAATGGTTATCAAATCGACTTATTTTTTGTCAGCTACTCTTTTTTTGATAAGTTTTTTTTTTTTGATAAGTAAAAAGTGCAATACTTATCAACTTAACTTTAAAAAAAAACCTTACTCAAAAGTTGTAGAGTAATAATTGATAAGTCGTTGTAGCGATTGGGCCCTGCGGGGCTCCCGTGAAAGCCCACGAGTACGGCCCGGAAAATTTAACTTTGGCACGGGCTTGTACGTGCATTAGAGGGCTGCATGAATTCATTCAAACTTCTAGTCAAACAGAGTAGAGTAGATTTGAATATACTACTTCACATACAAAACGCTCAGCATTTGGAATTTCGTAAGTATACATTTTGTTTTAAATTTTCTGCCTTCGAATGGAAGAATATGAATGAATGAATGAATGAACGAAAAACATTCGAATCATTCAAACTCATTTCGGTTATAGTTTTTTTCTACAAAAGTTTTTTCGTATTATAATAGGAGTACAGCAATACATACATACATGTATGTTTTGGATACATGGATGTTTGAATATTGTTGTGTCGACACATTTATCAAAACAAGTATTCACTCAAATTCAAAAAAGTTTGAAGCCAAAATCATTCATTAGTTTTGTATATGAATAATTCATTAGCCGTTTTGAATGAGTTCATGCAGCCCTCTAACGTGCATGAGCAAGCAGTGAATTTCCAACAAATCAGGAAAAATAACCAAAAATCCCGGAAAACTTTATGCGGAAAAAGTAAATTTTTTTGGAAGAATTTAATATCGTCACCTAAAATGCATAAAGACGTAACAAACATCATCGTTGAAATGCAAAAAGCCATAACTTATAAAAAATTAAAAATTCATTTATTGATTTATATGATGGATTTCATCGAATTACCACATCATTACCCACATCATTTTATGCAAAAAAAAA